TGGCTCCTGAGGGAGGAAAGAGAGAGCCCGTGGGAATCTTCCTCTGACAGCTTGGGGAACAGGGCTTAAGGGGCTAAGCCCAGGGAACACAGGAGCCCTGGCACCTGTGTGCCCACCCTGCAGGGTTTTGTTCTGCGGTGGCCAGGCTGGGAAGTGGCTTTTGGAGTCATTGGAGGCCCGGGCTGGGGTGTCGCGCTCCCGTCACCCGCCAGCTACACTTGTTGCCCCTGGAGCACCTCCAGCTCCAGAGCGTCTTTGTCAACAGCGCAGGGCAATTTCATAAATGCGAGGGACGCTGTCCTTCCTTACGCTCCCGGTGTGACCTGTGATGACCCATGTGTATCAAAATAGAACTGCACTCCATAAGGGTGGTTGTTTACTGTGGTTGGGGTGGAAGTTTGTGGAGACAGTTAGTTGTCCATTCAGCAATTTTTACCTACTTTGTTTCAGGGCATTCGTTGTAATCCCCTAGATATAACTGTCCCTACTTCCTCTCTGGGTTTCTGTTTCCATGTTTCCGGGCCCTTTCTGCCTCTGGAGCGTGTTCCTCGTGGGGTGATTGTGCTCCACAGGGCTGTCATGGCACATCCTCAGAAGCTGATCCCCAGGCCTTTCTTCCAAGTACTTCTAGGTATCCACTGGCAGCCTTGTGCGTAGTATCCCAGCACATAACTGTTTCTGCTACCCAGAGTCCACCCAGCCCCAATCCAAACCCACTCCCATTGAGTGGATCCCAATGCATAGCAACCCTAGGTTTCCAAGGTTGTGAATATTTACGGATGGCTTTGAACCACCAACCTGGCCATTAGCAGCTGGGCACCTAACCCACAGCATTATCAGGACGTCTTCTTCCCCTTTTTCAGGATTCTTGGGACCACAGGAGGAAGGGACCGCCTCACAGGCCCTTTACGCTGACATGTCCACACCCTGCATCTTAGCGTGTACTTGGCATTTTCGTACGTGTGTGGACAAATACAGCTACAGGCAAACATTCCCCCTGTGTTCTACTGGCTCCACAGTAGACTCAGATCTAGGCCCCAAGAAGACCAGGCTCCTCTGTGGTGCTCAGTCTACAGGTGTGCCCAGGGGACTCAGAGGTGCCATGAGAGGCAGAGGGTGGGAAAGGCAGGTATGAAGCCAGGAAAGGCACACCAGCAGATGCTGGAGAGCAGGGCTGCGTCAGGGTGGGGATAGGGTGTAAACTGCAGATGCTGCTGTTCATTCATTCAACTGAGAGACGGACGGAGCATCTGCCCCTGCCAGGCACTGTGAAGGGGACAGCGATGACCTGTATAGACAAGGTCTTAGCTGTGTCATGGGGCCTGACCTTCAAATGCTGTCCCAACAGAAACAGGTGGCTGGCTTCACTAACAAAAAGAAACAGATTGAAATTCATTTTAATAATCTCTTATTGTTCTAGCCTATCTAACAATGTTATCAATTCAATATGTCATCAGGATATGAAAAATGTTGACATATTTTTGGGAAAAAATTAAATGGTGGTTGTTGAGTATATACATAGCAATGCACAGGTAAATTCAACCCTTCTATGTGTACAATTCTGTGACATTGATAACATTCTTGGAGTTGTGCAACTATCCCCTCCTTCCTTGAGCTGTTTCTTTTTTATCTATTTATTTATTTTTTAATCATTTTATTGGGGGCTCTTACAATGCTTATCATAATACATCCATCCGTCAATTGTGTAAAGCACGTTTGTACATTCGTTACCTCATCAATCTCAAAACATTTACTTTCCACGTAAGCCCCTGGCATCAGCTCTTCATTTTTCCCCCCTCTCCCTGTTCCCTCCTCTCCCCTCCCTCATTAACCATAATTTATAAATTATTATTTTGTCCTAGCTTACACTGTCTGACGTCTCCCTTCACCTACTTTTCTGTTGTCTGTCCCCCAGGGAGGAGGTTATATGTAGATCCCTATAATCGGTTCCCCCTTTCCACTCCACGCTCCCTCCACCCTCCCAGTATCGCCGCTCACACCACTGGTCCTGAAGGGATCATCCGCCCTGGGTTCCCTGTGTTTCCAGTTCCCATCTGTACCAGTGTACATCCTCTGGTCTAGCCAGATCTGAAAGGTGGAATTGGGATCATGATAGTGGGGGGCGGAAGCATTGAGGCACTAGAGGGAAGTTGTATGTCTCATCGGTGCTACACCTTGAGCTGTTTCTTAATTTCAGCTCAGTGCCCCCAAACCAGACAGTTTGATCGTCTGTCTGTTGCTCTCTGTTTGAGCCCCTCTAGGTTGTTCATAAGAGAGTGGGCTGCTCAAGGCCAGCCCTGTTCACTCGTCAAACTATTTGTTTTACAGAAGATTTCAGGGAGATTCTTGGTTTACGGTTTAAAAGTGACCTCAGGATGACTGTTTCAGAGCTTCCTCCAGCCTGTGTGACTCCTAAGTGTCTGGATTCCAGGAGGATTTGGGATTTTCTTCTCATGTTCCCCCTTTTGATGTAGAAGCGATCGAATGTTGGATCAACATGTTCAGTAATGATAGACGGGCACCACCTAATCTTCTGGACTCATACCAAGTGCCATAGATTTTATAGCCCTTTCTTCTTGCTAAGTCTCTGAAGTCTGGTACGCAGTGAACCCTGACTACAAGTCTCAGTTAAGATCAGACACCTTACAAATGCTCGTGGCTTCTTAGGGATTGTGACTTCCAAGTGGGGCGGTGTAAGTCTTGTGTGAGGAGATCGTTTTTGTGTTTTTCAAGTTTAAAAAATTTTAGCTGGTAAATGCCATGGGGAAATAACAAAGGGAATTACTGTATAGTCTCGAGTGTAAGCCGACCCGAATATCAGCCGAGGCACCTAATTTTACCACAAAAACTACATTAAAAATGTGCTGGAAAACTCAGCTTATACACGAGTATATATGGTACTAAAGACATGACCCAAAGAAGACGAGAGTAGGAAGTTTCAAACTTCTTGACCTTAAAACCTACGACAAAGCCGCAGCACTCAAAACAGCCTGGTGCTGGTACTGATGTCATGACAGACACACAGGCCGATGGAGCGGTATTGAAAACCCAGAAGTCAGTCCACCCATTTATATACAGCTGATCTTTGACTAAGGGCTAAGACACATTAAATGAGGAAGAAATAGTTTCTTGAATGAACGAACGATGCTGGCAAAACTGGAAGTCCCTTCTCCCACCATTTAAAAAAATGAACTCAAGGTGTGTCAAAGATATAAATGTAAAAAAAAAAAAAGATATAAATGTAATCCCTTAGAACCATAAAGATCATCAATGGGGCAAATTTCAAGGCTCTTAGAAGTAGAGTTGTCAGGCTACTAAACCCAAGATCAGCGGTTCGAAACCACCAGCTGCTCCTCAAGAGGCAGATGAGGTTTTCTAATGTAAAGATTCGCAGTCTTGAAAACCCCCATGGTCAGTTCCACTCTGTCCCATTGGGTGTCCTTGGGTTTGGTTGATACACGGCATACGCACACTATCAAACGTACCTAAAAACACACAGACGAAGACAAATGAGATGACTGGGGCCTCCTAAAGGTGAAACACTTACACACATCAAAAGGCTTTAAAAAGAGAACCACAGACAGGGAGGACAATGTTGGATAAAGACATATCAGACAAGGGACTAATCTCGGAAATTTATAGAAAATGTCAACACTTCAGTGACAAGAGCAAATAGTCCAATTTAAAAATGGGCAGAGGACATGAACACATAGCTCACTAAAGAAGACATCCAAGGCCCCGGGCGGCCCTAATAGATGGGGGCACTGGAAAGGCTTCCCTGAGGAGCTATCACCCCTACAGAGTCCTGTGACTCAAAATCCACAGGAAGGCCATGGCTGGATTAAAGGGCACCTGTATTCCTTAGCTTGTAGCCCCCTACTCTGTTCAAAGTCAGTATTATAGCATCCTCAAATCTCTAACTCTGACCTCTGCTTCTGTCTTAATATCTCCGGCTCTGATTCTCTTGCCTCTTTTTACCTTATAAAGATGCCCTGTGCTAACATCACAGAGCTCTGTTAACTACAAGGTCAGCAGTTTAAAACTACCAGCTGCTCACAGGGAAGATGATGAGGCTTTCTGCCCCCATCAAGACTGACAGTCGCAAGAACACCACAGTTGGCAGTTCCATGATGTCCTATGGAGTTGCCATGAGTCGGAATCCACTGGACGACAGTGAGTTTAATGTTCCTTCCGAGTGATCACATCGAGCCCACCTGGACTATCTAGGATGATCTCCTGTCTCCAGACCTTTGCTGTAATCACATCTGCAACGGTCCCTTCTGTCGAGCTCAGTCCCATCTTTGCAGGTGGCTGTTTCAGGTTGGACTGCGAACTGCAGGCAGCAGTTTGAAACCACCAGCCGCTTTGCGGGAGAAATGCGAGACTTTGTATTCCCATAAAGAATTACGTACAGTCTCAGAAAAACCACAGGGCAGTTCTACCATGTCCTATAGCAGCAGTTCTCACCCTGTGGGTCGGGATCCCTTTGGGGGTCGAACGACCCTTTCACAGGGGCCGTGGCTAAGACCATTGGTAAACACATAACTATTTCACAATATAAAATTACATATTGTTTTGTGATTAATCACTGTGCTTTAATTATGTTCAATTTGTAACAATGAACATACATCCTGCATATCAGATATTTATGATTCATAACAGTAGCAAAATGACAGTGATGAAGTAGCAATGAAAACAATTGTATGGTTGGGGGTCACCACAACATGGGGAACTGTATGAAAGGGTCGCAGCATTAGGAAGGTTGAGAACCACTGCCTTACAGGGTCTCTGTGAATTGGAATCGACTTAATGGCAGTGAGTTTGGGTTTGGGTTTGGGATCAGGATGTGGACATCCTTGGGAATCAGTGGTTTGCCTACCAGGGTCCGTGACACCTGTCATATTCACTGAGCCCACTTGTGCTTGGATCCGGTGGGAGGAAGAATGGAGCAGGAAGAGCCTGACTCTGCTTCCGGCGCACACCCAGGCCACTACCCCAGCACGACTGCCCCTACCATCTGCCCTTTCCACAGCCCCACCCCACCCGTGACCTTGAACTGGCTGTGTGGATGCTTAGTTACTCCCTATCATTTCCCCAGCTAGCCAGCTTCCTGACAAAGGATGGGGGGACTTAGGGACCTATTTAAAAAATGCTGGGAGGCGATGCAAAACATCCGGCGCAGGTGTTGAGGAGGAAGAGAGCTCAGCAGACACAGACTTAGCCTTCCTGGGTCACAAGCACTATCCCAAGGGCTTGCTGGGGAGTTG